ATCCCATTTTCACCACATTTTAAAACTTAAGATACTGTTAGCTTAACAAAGCGGCCACAAAAAGCAAGTTCTTTACGCCACGCTTCTGTTTCCTACCTTTACACCTTTGAAAGAAACACCGACTGTTGTTTGCAATAAGAAACGAGCAGCGCAGAACCCCGGGGCAGCTCGTTAAGAAAGCTGCACGCACACACGCGATAGGCAGCAGCCCGGGTGGAGGAGCTGCTTTCATTCCTCAGTGTTTCCCACCACCACCACCAGCTCCCTCGCAGAACCCGCAGCCCAGCACGGCTCTGCGGCCCTTCCCCACTTAGACGAATGATAAGAGGAGCCCGCAGGCGGCCTGCCCTACCCATACCCCTGCCCCCGCCCCGAGGCCCGGCCGCGGTACGAAGCCGATCCCCGAGCGGCCCAGCAGCCACACGAACGGCTCCCGGCGCTGCCTCAGGGCCGGGCCCCGTGCAGGCCCGTAGCGGCACAGAGCTCCGCCCGCCCCACGGGGCCCGCGGTCGCGCAGCCCGCCCCCCCCCCGCACACACGGCCCTCCCGGCGGTACCTGCGCCCCCCGCGTGAGGCCGCGGCCGCTGAGCTGCCCGTGGCGGAGCTGCGCCAGGATGTTGGTGGGGGCTCCGCGCCGCCGGCGGCCGCCAGGCCCAGGGCCTACCGCCGCCATGGCCGCTGCCCCGCTCGGCCCGAGACAAACAGGAAGCGCCCCCTCCCCCGCCGCTTTGTACGGAGCGGCGCGAGGGACCTCCGCAGCGCCCCCTTCCGGGCACGGCGAGCCTTGCGGGAAGAGGCTGAGCGCGGAGCATGCTGGGAAATGTAGTCCGGGGGCGCTGTACGCATGCGCGGTGTTCTGTTCACCTCACAGCCTTCTCCATGATGCACAGCCCCATCTCTCAGCCTGTCCTCAAGGCAGAGGTGTTCCATTCCGTGGATCATTTTTTTTGGCCCTTCTCTGGCTGTGCTCCAACAGGTCTACATCTGCCCTGTAATCAGTGGCTTGCAGCCCTCAGAGCATCATCATCATGAGCAGCAGGCAACCATGCCATAAATAACACCAGGGAACCTCCAGGTGCAGCTTAACTCATATACTCAGCCAAGGTAATGGTGCAGATGTCCAAAAGCCTTCCCTGACCATACTGTGCAGCCCTGCTCCCAGTGCCCTGGTCTGTGCAACACCACAAAATTGAGGACAGAGGAACCAGCCCCTCAGTCAGCACAGCAGCCCAATGCCCTGTGAACCTAGCTGAGGTGAGCAATTCAGACACAGAACTAAAATCCACAGTGCAGCACACAAGGATCTTCTCGAATCAAATCTAAGACAAAACAGCAGCTCACAACCATGTGAACAGCACAGACCACAAGACAGACCTTTGTGAAAACCTGCTCTGCCCCTGAAGGAAAAAAAAAATTGCATTCATACAAACTGCCAAGAAAGTGCAAAACATCACAAATACCTGAGGACTAATAAAGCAAACAAATCAAAGAGGTCACACCAATTTACGAAGGCAGACACCCAAGAATCAGTTCCTGATTCACATACAGGCAGCAGCTCCTAGAACTTAACCATCACCAGTAGCTACCTTCCTCCCTTGCTTGCTACAGCCTCTCAGACTTCTAGAGCTGCTACCTCTTGCCAAGCAGAGCAGTCCAGATGGGGTTCTTGGAGAGACAGCCAGGATTGCAGCACACAATCTGGGTGCCAAAATTGCAACCACTTTAAACACAAACCTCAGTTTATATTCCATTTTAACTTGCCCGTGTCGTACAAAGAACAATGGGTTGAAAGGAATAAAGACAAGAGAGATTAACAAGATGCTTAACAAGGCTGCCTAATCAGTGTTGTCTTGAGATCCAGGTGAAGTATTTTAAAGTTTTATAGTATCACATCTTACATTACTAGTCATCACCATGAATAATGATGAAGCATGTGATCACACTTATTTATAGAAACCATGATCTGCTAATGGATGACTTGCTGTTCAGATAAATCGCTGTTCACAGAAAAACCTTTTAAAAAATGCAAACAGGGCACTCTTCTCACTTACTCACTCTACTTCATAGGTACAAAATGCTGCTCTCAGTCTGCTTTGTTACTGCTCCCCTGCTTCCCTCCCCCTTTGCTTTTTTTAGCGAAGGTTTTTGCCACTTGGAATTCATGCAGAGATCTGACTCATTTTCCTCTCTCTTATCCTTGCTTACATCCACTAAAAGATATTTGTCAGACCTTTCATCAATCCACAGCTTCTCCAACTACAAACAATAACTTTTGAAATATCTCAAAAAGGTCTGGCCAAAGCTCTGGCCTTTGCAGGCTGCCTACGGTATAGAAAAAAAAAATAGAGGCAACATCAGCAGCAAGTGCTAAATCTGGTTTCTGTGGCGTTTTTCACAAATCAAACCAAAATTGCAGGTTCCTTCCAGCCTTAGACAGCTGCCAGGAGTCCCAGCAGGCGGGACCTGCCCTCCGAGTTCTGGCCTGCCTCATTTGGAAGCCATCGAAAATTTCTACAACCCCAACGCTGTGTTTCATGCTCACCTCATTTTGGATTCCTGACAAAACCCCACATTGTGTTAACATGACTAAGTGCTCACCATATTACTCAACTGGAGAACTTGAGTTCTCCCTTCTGCTGGATGACATTGAAAGAGACCTGCCAGCTCTTCGAGAGACAGATGTTCCTCCATTGTGAGGCTCCTGGGAGGAGAGGCAACAGGAGGTGTCAAAACACTGGAGCAAACCAAGACTAAGGTTGTGTTATTCTGTCCCACAACAGATGAAAATCCATCTAATTACTTTCAGCAGAACAGCTGTGTACAGGTTAGTTCTTTCAGCTCCAGCTGTGCTAAGGTAAAATCTTACCTCCCAATGCTACTACCCCATTTCTGCTACTGGAACTGCAGGTGAGGGCAATAAAATTCTGTGGTTAGCATCCATCCACTATATTAGTGGACTGCAACATATCCTGAAGTTCTTCATTTTCATCTAGCTTGTGGGTAGAGCAGTGCTGAAAGAGAAGGACTAAGCACCACGTGTAGCTATTGGAAAACACCTGTATTTTGTTGTTCTGGAACTGGACAGAGAATAGTGTGAGATATGAACTGCTGGAAAAGAAAGGTTGCAATGAGGAACCACTAAGAGTTGGCCTAAGATCCAACAGTGCCTCAGTTTTAGGGTGTTCTGCTTTCAATACCTGACAGCAGCAGTTGCATGCTGTGTTCCTAAAGCAGCAGCTTTCGCCCCAGAGAAATTGAAGAGAGAAGTACACAGCTACAAGCGTCTGTAGAGGTCACTGATGCTTATCAGCCTGTCTGCAGATGGAAGGGCCTCTTAGAACAGTTTATTCACAACTGTAACAGGATTTCCATCATCGGGGTAGAAGTTCAGGCTTCATGTAACTTTATAGCACTGGTGATGGAGACGAGCTCCTCAAAGCAGTGTTCCAACCCCAGCAAAGTCAGGGCCTTGTCTCAGTTGCAGTTCAGTATTTTACTAGCCAGTTGGAGGCCAAACAGGATTTATTTGTCCTGTACCTTTAGCCCATTCAAATGAAGAAAGCCAAAGCTTCAATACAACTCACAAAACCACACACTTTGTGCCAGATTGACATCATTTTAACAGACAAAACACAGAGGAGGGAAAAAAAAAAAGATGCAAAGCCAAGCCAGTCATGTCCCCAGGCTGCCAGGGGTGCATTTTAGTCACTTGAGAAACAGCTGTAATATAAACAGCACTGAGGCAGCAATGGCTGCCACACATGGGGAAACACAGAATTCTTCTGGCTGCTTTAAGTACTAATCTTGCAAAAGCTTCCATACAGGCCAGGAGAAACTATTTCATAAGCCATCCACACATCCACTTGAAAATGCCAACTTAGAGCTTCTCTGAGGCAGATTCTGGCTTCTCTCTGCTTGCTCCTGACTGCTCACCACCCAGCAGGCTTGGAGAAAGCTCAGCATTTTTTCTGCCCTTTAAAAAATTTTTATTTAAAAATAAAAACCCCTTTGCAACCCTACTGCATTTGCTCTTTTTGCTCGTTGCATCCACCTGTTCAGACACTAATAATGATTTGAGTTTGCCAAGTCAGCCAAACACCAATAACTTTCATGCCTTGCACCTATTGAGACAACAAAGGAAATGCAGCTTCGTTTCTGCTGCAGGAAGGATTACAAGAAACTCTCACTTCCTGTTCCAGGAAGCAGCTTAAGAACTTCCTGCACGACGAGGGAGTTGCATTTCATTCTGAACCAAGTCACCTTCCATCTTGCCCTTATGGGTATTATACGCAGAATTCAGCAGGTCCACCTGGAGGCCAACTTCACTATTAGAACTGGCTGATGTGGAGTTAGACAAGTGAGGCCCCAAGGGGAAGTTTAAAAGAGGAAGGAAATGAGGAAATTTCATAGGAAAACCATAGCAGATTCTGAAGAAGAGAGCACACACACTACTGCAGGGTAAATCAAGCCTTTCCTAGTCCATGTTACAGCTCAGTTTGCAGATGACATTACCTGGATGCTTACTAAACCAGTTTCAGGTTGGTAGTACTGACTCATGCTGATTCAACACACGCAGGAAGCAAGCAGTTCCCCATGTCACAAGTGCCTTCCTTCCACTGAGCCATCCTTCATGCTTGATAGACATACTAAATCTACAAATCTGAGCCTTCACCTCATGAATCACAAGGTTTTCCTAACAAATCACAGACATTTCAGGCTAACCACACATTTATAATGAGGCCAGTGAAAAAAAGCAGAGTATATCACAGAGGAGAGATTTGTAGTCTCAGAGCTGCAACTAGAGCTTGTAATCCAGTGTTTCTTCCTTACAGACAGGGAACCACTTAGGCTCGCTTTTATGAAGCACAGTAAGCTGTGGACTCTGCAAAAGGCTGCAAAACTTCAAAATCACCATGAAATAAACACAGTACCTCTCAACCTGGAGAGGCTTTTCCTTCTGAACACCTGCTTGCTAATCAAGGTAGCAAGGTAACCAACTGTTTTGAGGTTAGCAATTTCATAGTATCAACAGCTAATGTGTGAATCACATTTATGAACCAGCAGCAGCAGAATTTAATGCAAAGTTTTTTTCACTTCATACAATTCACATTGTGAGGTATGACTTTTCCCATTATGAAACTATAAAAATATATTCCCAGAGTCTGGATCAAGTTCAGTAATTTATACTGATAATAAACATATAATCAAGTGTTGTCCAGGAAGACCTGTCCCAGTACAGCAAGTTTAGAGTTAAAAGATTGACTGGGGCAACTCAAAAGGGAGTGTGAGCTCTTCTTAGAGTTTCTTTTCTTTCCACCTAAAGATGCACCCGTGGGGTCTTTTGCACATTCCCCTTCACCACAGTCAGAAGTCTGCTTTAAGGGGAATTTCTTGTTTTTCTGAAGTGAGTAAAACTCCCTCATTAAGTCTTCCACTTCCCACTGCTCTTCTTTCCTCTTCCTACAGCAATGCAGTGCTGCAGGGTCTATGGGATGAGCTTCGGTGTTGAAAATGTACCCTCCAGCATTCAAGATGCATTCGCCATAAGGGGTGATCACAACATCAAAGTCTGATCCGTCGTTGTGAATGAAGTTGTCTGGGTCAAACAGTAGGTACAAGTACTTCACTGTTTCAGCCAAAAAGAAGGATTCCATGCGGTTGTCCAGCCTGTGATCTCTCAAGTCTTTGATCTACAGAAGAAGAGAACCAGTTACATTTATATTAAATTCAAGAACTTAGGGGGGGAAAAAAAAGTAAAACCAGCTTGCAACTCATCTACGTAAAACAGCATAGTATCAATACACCCTGTATTTTAGATGTATACCAACAAATTTTCATCCGTTTTGAATTAATGTAATCTGGTGATTCGAAACAGGAAACTAAGTCAAGAGAAATGTACTTCCTAGAGGGGTAAGGAGAATAATCTTCCCATCGTTTACCTAACTAAAAGAACAAAAACTTTACATCTTCAGAAAAGAAAACTTTCAGCTGTTTAATGAGTGGATGAGATCCACTAGGAAACTGACTAAAGGGACAGATGAACTGATCAGAGCTGGCAACTGTTTAATGATGCTCTTTTTTAGAGTTGCAAGAGTGCAGAGCTCACATCCTCGTGTGTAAGAAATGAAACAGGGAAGGATGAAACCAGCATGGCTAAGCAATAATCTGCTGGTCAAATTGAGATGTTATAAGGAAATGTACAGGCAATGGAAGCAGGAACTTGTGGCCTGGGAAGAATACAGGGAAGGGAACGTGATGGGATTAGGAAAGCTAAGGCACAGACAGGACTGAAGTTGGCAAGGGATGCAAAATAAAACAAGAAGGGATCCTATAGGGTCACTGGTCAGAACAGAAAGGCCAAGGAGAGTGTACTCTCTCTGATAAGTGAGAAGGGAGAACAGGCTATAACAGATATGGAGAAGGCTGAGCTACTCAGGGTTTTAGCCTCAGTCTTCACTGGAAGTAAGGCTTCCTATGTCTCTCAAATCCCTGAACTTCTGGGTGCTTTTTTCCATTTGTTTTACAACTGACATGCAGAGGCCCATTCACTTCTACAGAGCATATGAATCCTCCTGCCAATGTGGGACTCCTCATACCTACCAAGATACAGGAAAGCTGAGGGGATTCTGATGCCTTTCTATGTTTTAAGCTCTGCTGTGACAATCAGTTAACAGAATTTGGCCCACTTTTCAGGCTGCAAGGAAAGTTACTCCCAGAAACATGACCAACAGTTCAGCTTTAGAGAAAAACAAGGGGTTTATTTGAAAAAGAAGTCATGCCTTAATAGATGTGATCATTTGACTCAAAGCACATCATCATCTGTAAGGCACTTTCTATCCAAAAGCTGCTATTTAGCAACTGCACTTACAGTTGCAAACCCACAGTCCACCTTGCTGATCTTCTCTATCGACTCCACTGCATCTCTTCCCAGTTCTAAGAGTATGGGATCCCGTGTAGCACGGTACAGATACATTGCACTCTCAATCAGCTCTGCAAAAAAAACAAGACCAACCTCAGACCAAAACTAATTAGCACACAGTTGCAAGCACGAAGATTAGCAAACCACGTATATGGCAAAGAGAAGATGCTCTCTGAATTATCAATACTGTTTTAATATGACCGTGTAAGTAGCTTAGCTTGTCTTGTGCTTCCTCTGGCTAAAAACACACAGGCTTGCTTCTAGTAAAGATGTGCTACAAAGAAATTCACTGTAATCATGTTCCATCAACTCAGGTAAGACCAAATAGTGCTCACTTCCACACTGAAGATGAGGAGCAACACAAAAGGATTAAAACTCAGTTGTCAAAATAAGCAAAGATAGATGTTTCTGGAAAGGACTACAAATAAAATTGAACCTCTCAAACATAATCTTTAGAGAAAAAGCTGTAAAGCTTTGGAACACCATGAAAACTGTCAGTGTAGGAACACTGTATGTAGGCAACACGTGCACTTAAAAAAAAGTTTCTGTTGTTGCTGTAATACACACTGAAGTTAACATTGGTGTTTTTGGTAGAAGTGTAGGATTTCACCTAAATGCTCAGAGCAAAAGGCAATTTATTACAAAGCTCTACTGACCTAATAACCACTTGTGAAATTTTTGTCAGGAAAAAAAAAGCCAAACAAAAAGATCTTAATAGGAAAGAGATTGCATTGCAGCATTACAAACAACATTAATCCTCTTATGTGTTGATGTCTACTCATATAACTGGAATTAATTTGATTCAGGAACTCAGCAGAACCAGAGCAGTCTTTCACTTCCTAAATTGAAGGGTATAAGCAGCACACGAACATTTCACATGACTTTAAAGTAAAACCATTCCATGTTAGAGAATCTAACACAGACCTGTCATATCTGACAAAGGGAACCCAATTCAGTAACAGGGCCCCTTCATATAATAACACTACCGTCTGCTTTTGTTAATAGCCTTGCCTTTGTGAATGGCAGAAAGCAAAGCATTTGGCTTTGACAATGGACACCAATGATGAAACTCATGCAGGAACCAAGTCAGAACAAAACTGGGCAGGAGCTTTTAGATGACAGTTACTGCTAACATCTGGTCTGATCTCATCATCAGAGCAAAACCAGAACTTCATGTTCCTTTTTATTTCATTTCTGCTTACCTGGCCTCAGTGGGTATCCTTCTCTCTTGTCCACTGTGTAGCCCTGAGGAATGTTGTAGAACTCAGGAAGCCCACCAAACTGCTTCCAAACAGTGTAATAGTTGAGGAAGGTTCGCATGGCATTATCCACATCCCCAATTAGGCTCTGAGACAGACAAAAGAATTAGCAAATCAATGTCAGAGTGAAGAAGAAACAGTACAAAGGTTGCTTCAGTAACACACCCATAGTCAAAGCAAGGGATGAGCAATGAGTTGCTCAGCAAGTCTAAATGGTATGATAAGCATTTAGGCACGATGCCTTAAGAATAGGTATAACTGAAGAGGCACTAGATACTGCTTTTCTCTTGGATAACATTATTTCAGGTGTGCAGAATTCAAAGTCGCCTTGATTTTCAGTTAACAGAAGGCTGGGTTTCCTTTACAAAAAGATCCAGTTTGTTCCAGTAGGGATAACCAAGTCCCAGACCAAACATAAGTACTGATAAGAAAGCAAATTTTTCAGTGTATCTCTGTGGGAAGCATTCATGAGAAGAATGTATTCATGTGGTAGCAGCAGAAAAACCGTTTTGTTTTTCCTTTAGGTTTCCATCTAGATTATGAGATCACTGCTAGCAGAGTTTGCTACAACAAAACCACCTTCTATGCTTAGTAACTTTTTTTAATTAGACCACAGGTGGAGTCAACATTTACTCTTTCAAAAACTGAAGACTGCTGCAGACATCACCAGAGATTAGAACAGAGCTTTAAACCAGCACAGATGAGGGTTATATCTGTAACTTACATTTTATAGATCAACATCACTGTATGCTACCAATATAACAGCTCTCACCTGCAGGCCTGGCCAGTAAGCCTCCAGGGACTGAAAAACAGGCATGGATACTGTTCCTTTGTACATCTGAACCCAGAGGTACCAGTCATCAAACTTTGTGTAATTTTTGATAGCTTTGTTATATTCTATGTATTAAAAAAAAAAAAAAAGAGCATAGATGAGTAGGTAATAAAACAAATGTTCTTCCTTTCAAAATGACTGAAGTCCCTGTTTCACCTCAGCTACATCAAACAAATGAGTTGTGCTTTCCTCCTTGTCAGAACACGCACTGTGATAACTCTTATCACAGACTGTTCCAAAGTATTACAGCAAAGACATTGGGAACAGTCCCAAATGGAACTTATTAGCCTTATTCTCCCAAGGGAAACTTTTACAGGTGAAGCCAAGGGCACATTCTTGGGACCCTTCAACACAAGGAAAAACAAACAAAACAACCAACCTGCTTACCTAGGAACATGGACATCAGCTCCTTGTCCTGCAGGAGAATGGCTCCTTTAACAAGGTATTCAAAGTAGGAGTCCACTCCTGCTCCAATGCCAGCATCTTGGGCCACCCATTTGGCAGTTACCACATCAATGTGGTTACCGACCTGGAGGAAGTGTGGGGAGAAGGAAAGAGAGTGTCAGAGTGGAAATGGAGCTCATCTTTTAAACAATAATTAAAACAATTCCCACAACAGCAACATCAGACAAAAAGCCTCTAACCTCCTCTCAGAAAAAGATTCACAGTGACAATATCAGTGAGTGTTTTCTCCAGATGTCTGTCAGCACTAGAGAAGTACAAAGCATAGAAAATCATTACTTGTGGATTTTCTGCTTTCAATACAAACACTGCATTGGCCAAAACAAAATGTCACGCTACTGTAAAAAACCACAGTCTGAGTATCATGTAACTGGTACTAATCTCTATCTTATGAAAGCATAGAGAAGGATGATGAGGTACAGAGCAGGATGCAAAGAACATCCGGGGCATGAGAGAGCTGCCATGCTAACATTTAAATGGATCCTTCACACCTGGCAGTCTTCAGCCTCCAAAGAGCTGAAGGAGAATTTAAGAACAACTGTAACTAGCTTTGCAAAGACAGGAAAAAAAATTATTCTGTTTCTCTCCAGTGCACCAGTCAGGTCATCAAATAAAAATAAAAAGACCCCAAAGCAAACAGAAGTGTTTCCAGCAGGAACCAGGCCTGCTGAAGTTCAGTGTGGTTTGAGTTTTGGGTAGTCTTGTGTGGAGCCATGAGTTGGACTCGATGATCCTCATCGGATCCCTTCCAACTCAAGATGACCTATGATTCACACAGCATATGAATACATCTATTATACTTCACATACATTCAAAAGCAGCTAGACATTAACTGAAGAAAGATCCATCAGGTGACAGTGAACACAGAGCTGACACTTCTAGCTCTGGAGAGCCCCAGAATGCTAGAGGCTAGAAATACCCTGGTGTTCTTATTTCCTTCCATAGGCCACTGTCACACCATGCACTGATAGATCTTTCACGTAATGTTGTACAGTTGCTGTTACAAAAGCTGCAGTGCCCAGCAGAAGGCATTTCTGTCTCCCAGCCACATCTGTTCTGGAGCAAAACAGTGGCATTATGTTGAGTTGCACCACTAAAGCTAAGATGTGCATGCTGCATGTCTTCAGGAACAACATCAAGCACATGACTTTCAGCCCCATTGTTAGCACCGTGGTTATTTATCCAATGCTTTCTCCTTAGTTTATACTTTCAACGCTTAGAATATAGCTTAGAACCCATAAGCTATATGAAAATTCAAAGTCTGTGTCCTCACTCACCAGTCCAATATCTGAGCGGTTTTTCCACAGTGCCTTCAGAGCCTTCCTGGCAACATCCTCAAACACTGGGTCACCAGTAAGGTGGCTTAAAGTGGCAAATTCCACTATAAAAGTACCAATTCCAGCAGTACAGGTAACCGGGGTCTCCCCAGGGTTTACTCCATGCAACAAGTTCACTGTCCCATAGGGCATCCCAGTGGGAGTCTGAAAAGCTGAAACGAAATTTTTGGTTCACATGAAAGCATTCACTGTTACATCTTATCAGATTGATAAGAAGGTGCTCCCTACAATCCCAGGCACGTACAGCAGCAACAAACTGGACTGGAACCACAGAAGCTACTGCAGATCTACTCTCCCCTGTCCAGAGCAGGGCCTGCATCCCTGCACAAACACAGCAGTCACTGAAACGTAACTACAGATACTGGTATGCAGCACACCAAAACTGAGCTCATGATTGCTCAAGGGTAGCCCAGGGTGCATGCAGAGAAGGAAATGGGGTCATGCTGTCAGAGCACACATCCATAGCTCACAGAGGGGCAGATAAGGCTGCATCGTCTTGTCTTTGCAAGCTGTTGTTTCACAGTCTTTATAGCACTTCTCATGCATATAAAATATTTCCCACAGCAAGCAATTAACAAATGGCTGCATTAAGCACACACAACACTCTTGGCACACATGTGGACAACCTGTGCCCTGAACTTACAAGATGCTTTCCTGCAAACAAAGGAAGGAGCTCAGAGAATGCAGGACTGTATTGTGAGCTCACAAATCAAGCAGTGCCATCTTCCTCCAATGCACCAGTCACCTCAGGAACCACAGCAGCACAAAACAGACAAGTTCTCACCTGGCAGCAGTTTGCGAGCTGCTTCCTCTGCCATCCTCAGGAGAGGTCCAGAGCAGGGCCATCCCACCTCCACCTCAACGCCAGCCTTCTTGGACAGCAAGTGAGCAGAAAGGAGGCCACCAACCACTGGAAGGTGCATAGTGAGAATCCCATTAGAAAATGCTGGGACAGAGGGAGAACGAAGTCCCAAACCAGTTGTATTTTATCTTGATGCAGAACAGTATTCATGAGGAAGAAAAGTGAGATGGCACATTATTAAGACCCTAATTCAACGCCTCAGAAAAGTTGTTTGTTCCTTCCTGTTTGCAGTAGGTACCTGGGTATATTTATTCCATTATATTAGGAGCATCAGATCCCAGTTGCCCTCCTGCAGTGCCCTGCAGAAAATCAAAAAGCTACAATTATACTGGCTGTGACGTCCTAAAGAGGAATTGTGTTTCATTTCTTCCAGACAGCTTGATGTCATGTTTCTGTAATCACAGAATCACAGAATCGTAGGGGTTGGAAGGGACCTCCAGAGATCATCGAGTCCAACCCCCCTGCCAAAGCAGGATCCCTACACCAGGTAATACAGCATGCCTTACTGAACTCCTTGCAGAAAAAGGCCTAGGTTAGAGTAAAGAATTGTAAAGAATTGTAGTCTGACTGTCAGAGGCTGTGAGTTTTCAGTTCTTTTCACAGGTTTGTCTGATGTCACATAACAAGCATAAATTACTGAGAAATTACAGTGGTGCAAAAGCTGGCTCAATACTGTTTAATAGGAGAAACAACAAAAGAAGAGCATAACTAACAGCTTTGTTCCCTGTCCTTCTGTCTCACAGCACCAAAGCAGTGAGGTGCTCAATAGGGTACAACATTCCACTCCACTAAAGGCAAACGTCTTTGTAATTTTCAAAGAAAAAAAAAAAAAAAAAAAGACAAGTTTTATTTTACAGAACCAAAGCAAGAGATTAAGAATCACTGAATGGCCACGGTTGGAAGGGACCTCAAGGATCATGAAGCTCCAACCCCCTGCCACATGCAGGGCCACCAACCTCCTCA